GGGGAACTAGGAGCACCCCCACCGTGCCTAGTACTGGTAGGTGCCCAATAAGCATTTGTTGAGTGAAGTTCCAGGAAGGGAGGCCTCCTTCTTCATAAATGAGAAATGATGATGATGGTGATGATGATGATTGTGATGGTGATGAAACCCAGAGGAGGCTTCCGACCCACCTCTTCTGCACAGAGAAGGGCCCTGTTCCTGGGCCCCACCCCCATCTAGCCCTTTCTCCTCCTTTTTGGTGGTGCCTGCAGCTATCAGCGTTGCTGGGGTGGGGTGTGCCCCCCTCTCTGAAAACCTCCCAATCCACCCAATCTAAAGAACGAGGGACATTCTACCCCACCTGGATCCCGCAGATGGGAGGTGAGGGGAGATTGGGTTCTAAGTCCCTGAGCCTGGAGTGGGGGGAAGGTAAGGGAGGGTCTTCAACCCTTATCAGTCTTCCCACCCCCTCCCAATTTCACCTCTGGGATCCTTGTTCTCAGTGACCCCAAGCCCAAACTCCAAGGGTCCCCTTATGCCCTACCTGACCCTGGTAACAACAGCAGTTCTAGGTACTTTCACCAAAAGCGTTTTTACTGCAAACACTTGGCCACATGATGAATTGGCTATGAGGCAATTTTGCCATGAAAGGTGAAATAACTGGTTGACAGTTTGGTTTCATCTGGTTGAGGTGCTTTTCTTCCAGCTAGTGATATTACTGATGGCTTTATTAAGCTGACAAAAGGTGACAGTTTGCCCTAAGAGTTGGTTTTATATTTTTAAACACACTACATTGGAGGAGAAAGAGGCCAAGGGCCTCCAAGGTACAGAGTTGAGCCCACATTTCCCATAAAACTTTTTTGAGTCTATCAACAGACATGAGACAATGTGCTAAGAACACTACAGTGTGGAGGCTTTCCCAGTGCAACTCCAGGGTCAATTACAAACATGCACCCTAATGTTTGGAAACTGATACCTCTCTCAATAAAGGAAGAAACTTCAGTCAAAAATGAGAAAGTTCAATGCCAGCTGAGGAGACTAATCAACAAACAAACAAAAAAAATAAGTATAAAATACTGTGAATGAAAGACTTGGTAGGCAAGTGCTTACTGCTTAGACAAGGACAACCTACAAAACAAAATCAGTTCTCTGCACAGTATCGCCATGCACTTACAGACACCTTCTCCAGTGGCTCAGTGGTAAAGAACCCACCTGCCAATGCAGGAGACATGGGTTCGATCCCTGGAGAAGAAAATGGCAACCCACTCTAGTATTCTTGCCTAGGAAATCCCATGGACAGAAGAGCCTGTCCATGAGGGCGCAAAAGAGTCAGACACAACTTAGCAACTAAATAACAACAATTTTGTTTCTGCTTTCTCCTGTTTCACTATGTCCTTTTTAATGTCCCTCTTCTTTGTTATTAGTTTATCTTTTTCGGCAAAATTGCCTTAAGGACAATTAGTTACACAGCAAAAATGTGGCAAAGATGCTTAAGGTGCAAATAGCAGACAAAGCTAACAGTGGGCCTTGGGCAGAAAGGCCCAGGTCAGGATGCCCCTGCCTGCTCCTTGGAAGTCCTCCCACCTGCCTGTCTACTCATCACCGGGCAGAGGAGAGCAGGGGCCCAGGCCACCCACTTAGTGCCCAGTGAGCGGGCACTCAGGCACCTTCCTCATTGCCCCGCCCGCCGTGGGGCTGCTTCTGGGGGAGTCACACGGGACGGGAGGCAGCAGCCTCATCCCAAAACACTGCAAGGCGGGCAGGGCCACCTCAGCCTAGTGAGGCGATAATGGGTGAGAGGCAGCGCCCCTGGGGCACCCGAGCCCCTTGCAGCGGCCTCCCCTCCCCACGCCCCGGCCGCTGTCCGCCTTCTCCCCTCCTGGCACTCCGCAGGGTGAGGTCACTGCTGAAGATGTGAAAAATGAATGTCAGTCTGTGCTCCAGGCACTGAACAGCACCTGTTCCCACACCCCAGTAGGTGAAAGGAGATGGGGTCGCTGCAGGCTTGGTGGGCTGTGTCCTGCTGTAGGTCCCACCACCGTGCCCTGGCACCAATCCCAAGGTGGATCCTCGTGTTTACGCCCGTCCTACCACTGCCATCCCCACCCCGCCCACCCCCGCCCCCACCCCCCCAGTGGCCCGAGCCCTCCCAACTGGCTTTTCCTGTTCCCCGCTTTGTGTGGTGAAAGTTCCCCAATTATACCCACATTATCTCAGCTGCTGGGCAGCCTCCAGCAGACTTGAGGAGTGGAGGCTGGGGGGTGGGGGAGGGAGCACCCACTTAATCTGCGGGGAGGGCCTAAGGCTTAGGTCCTCGCCAACTGGCCAGTCAGCAGGAGAACTGGGCTGACTGGCCCACTGACCTCACTGTGGGACGGTGTCTGGGGTGGGGCACAGCTGGGCTGGGCTGTGGTTCAGAGAAATCAGCCAGTGGAGGCCAGAAAGGACCAAGGAGATGATGAAGTCCAGTCTGCTCCCTCCAAGGGGAGGAGAATAGGGCTCAGAAAGGGGAAGTGACCTGCCAAGGTGCCAAGGCGAGCTCTAGATGCAGCCGGGCTAGAAGCCAGCACCCCCGACCCGCTGCTCAGTGCCACCTCCGTGGTTCCCCCACCACCCACAGTGTTCTCTGTCGGGGACAAGTCAGAAGCCCAGAGACCAGCCAAGGGGATGGCTGGAGGGATGGGGTGGCAGTACCCCAGGTGGACCTTGAAGGGCTGTGTGGATGTGACCGGACGCAGAGGAGGCGAGCATAGGGAAGCTTCCAGAACATGGCAAGGGCCTGGCTTCGAGGGCCAAAGATACGTTTATTCAGCAGGCATGTCCTGAGTGCCAGCTGCGTGCCAAACATGGGGATACCGTTCTGACCTAGAGAGACCTGGCTGGTACCTTCTTAGGGGAGGTGTGAAGGGCAGCATACTTCACTGACTATAGTCTTAGGAGCCTTCAGAGGAATATGCTCTGCTCCCGCCTCCATCATGAGAGGCAGGTGTCGCCCCGAGTTCCCACTCTGGAAAGCAGACTCCCTTGGGGGCCCATTTAGGCCATCCCCTGCCTTGGGGTCAGTCCAGGGCCTGATGTTGATCTTAACTGATGGTGCTCAATAAAGTGAGTGAAATAAGAAAGCAAGGATGGCTGATGACAGAACTCAGGAGTGAGCCCACTGGAGGGCATGGCAGGCCCAGGTAGATCAGGGGGCTGAGCCAAGTTCACAGTTAAGGAAAAGCTCAGACAAAAGCCATTCGAGAGGGAATAAAGCAAAATCGGCAGGGAGACTAGAGGGCGTTCATTCATTCACTCGATGCCACCAATAACTCCATGCCACTGATCACTCTGTCCTGACTGCAAGTCTCTCGTCTCCGTCTTCCACTGCCATCTGTCTGGCCACAAATGTTGACTGAGCACCTACTATGACCGGAGTCTGGGCCCGGCACCAGGGATACAGGGATGGAAAAGACTCAGAGGCTGCTCTGAGGAGCTCATCATCTGGCAGAGGAGAAGCCAGAGGTGTGAACAACCACATTCCTAGGCAGAAAAGAGCCGCAACAGGGTGAGAGGATCGGGGAAGCTTCCCAAAGGAGGTGGCCTGAGTGGGACAGCCATAGGTGGAAAAGGGCCTAGGCCTTCCAGGGAACCGCAGGAACAGGAGTCTAGACGTGTAGCATCAGGCATTCCCTGGGGGCCCAGTGGTTAAGACTCTGCGCTCTCACTGCCAAGGGCCCCAGTTTGATCTCACAAGTCTCACTGTGTGGCCCCCCTCCCCCCAAAATTAGATGTGTGGCTTCTACAGCTCTGTGCTCCTTGGAGGCTGGGACTGAATCACTCATTGACGTGACTCCAGTGCTGATAACAGACTCAAAAAGTGGCACAAAAACGGGAGGAGGGAGGAAGGAGACACAGAAACGGGGCCTATTCCACAGAACGGTCCAGTCAGATTTGGTCGGAAGGCCTCGTGTACAGAGTGATGTGGACAGAAAGGCAGGGTCCAGATGATGAGGACGTCAAATGCCAAGTTATGACAGCCAGACGTGACTGTGAAGGCGAACGTGAGCCAGAGAGGCTGAGCCTCATGCAGTGCCTGCATCTCTCAGCCTGGTTGGGTAGGGGGGCTAAGCCAGTGCACTCCAGAGCCCAGGCACTCAGCCCTTTGGGGGAAGAAGACAGTGGGTGTGGCCTTACTGATGGGGTCCCCGGGAATCCCCTAGCGCTTCCTGCCTCCTGACACGTCCTCATCCATCATACCATTTGGTTCTCTTAGCAACCTGTGAGCTAGAGAGGACTGGATTATCCACCCCATTTATCAGACGAGGGAGCCAAAGCCCAGAAAGGTGAAGAAGCTAGTGGCTCCTCAGCTGGGCCTCTGCCCAAAAAGCAGCACATTCAACCCTCATCAAAAATAAGGGTGCAGAGGGATATTTACTGCCACAGAGCAGCATTGATAATAATATCACTAAGTGAAAGTACAGCTTAAGGAATAGTGTATACAGTATGACTCTGATTTCGTCTTAAAAACAAAAACACATGGTTACCAAGATATATGGAGAAGAATGTAAAAGAGGTTGTGCGTGCATGCTAAGTCACTTTAGTCATATCTGACTCTGCAACACTATGGACTATAGCCTGCCAGGCTTCTCTGTCTATGGGATTCTCCAGGCAAGCATAGTGGAGTGGGTTGCCATGCTCTTCTTCAGGGGATCTTCCCGACCCAGGATCTAGCCCAATGTCTTCTGTCTCCTGCATTGACAGGTGGGTTCTTTTACCACTAGTGCCACCTGAAAAGCCCAAACAAAAGGTTATTTCCCCTCAGGTGATCAGTGATACGTCTGTGTGGTGGAATCATGGGTTGTCATTTTCTTCTCAGTATTTTTCAATATCCCCCACAGTGCTTCTAAAAACAGGCAATTATGATTTTTATTGTCAGAATTTTTAAAATATGACTGCTGGAAAATAAAAACTAGCACACAGGGAGTCGGGGTGGGGGTTCTGGCTGACCCTGACCACCCTCTGCCCTCTCTCTCTACCAGGAGCCTACACACAGATGGTCCAGGTGAACGACTCCATGTATGGTTTCATCGGCACAGACGTGGTGCTTCACTGCAGCTTCGCCAACCCGCTACCGGGCGTGAAGATCACCCAGGTCACATGGCAAAAGGCCACCAATGGCTCCAAGCAGAACGTGGCCATCTACAACCCAGCCATGGGCGTCTCGGTGCTGGCCCCCTACCGCGAGCGCGTGGAGTTCCTGCGGCCCTCCTTCACAGACGGTACCATCCGCCTCTCCCGCCTGGAGCTGAAGGACGAGGGCGTCTACATCTGCGAGTTTGCCACCTTCCCTGCGGGCAACCGAGAGAGCCAGCTCAATCTCACTGTGATGGGTAAGCTGACCTAACCGCTCCTCTCTGCTTGGGCACAGCCTGGGGGCTGGGCCATCTTCAGTGGATGCAGAGGTTCTCCTTGGGTCGGCATGCTCCCAAGCTCTGGATGTGGCACTTTCAGTCCCTTCTCGCCACACTGTCCCCACTCACTAGGGATGGGGGCTGGCCTTAGCTGTGAGCAGAGCTGAGGATCAGTATTCAGGTTGGAGCCCCACTGTGGGGCACTTTCCAGGTGCTTCCTAGCAGGGAGACACCAAGGTAAGAGAGCCTGCCAAGACTCCAGGAAGACTTGCACTAGACAAAAGCTCATACAAAGAGACCAGAGCAGGAAGACCATGGGTGAGACCCAAGGAGGTCCCTGTGAGAAGTGCTGGGAGGGGCCTTGGTGAAGCACAGCTGAGTGGCAAGGATGACCAGGGCGACCTGAAGCAAGACCTGGCAGGTGCCTGCCCTCCCGGCCTGTGTGTCCTTGATGAGGCAGGAGAGCCAGACCCATGGCGCTCTCTTGTTTCCGGCAGCCAAACCCACCAATTGGATAGAGGGCACCCACACAGTGCTTCGAGCCAGGAAGGGGCAGGATGACAAGGTCCTGGTGGCCACCTGCACGTCAGCCAATGGGAAACCTCCCAGTGTGGTGTCCTGGGAAACGCGGCTGAAGGGCGAGGCGGAGTACCAGGAGATCCGGAACCCCAACGGCACGGTGACCGTCATCAGCCGCTACCGCCTGGTGCCCAGCCGGGAAGCCCATCGGCAGTCCCTGGCCTGCATAGTCAACTACCACATGGACCGCTTCCGGGAAAGCCTCACCCTCGACGTGCAGTGTGAGCGCGGCAGGGCGTTGGGGGCGGGGCCTCCTGGCGGGGCGGGGCGCGCACTGTCCCCTCCCACCACTCCCATTCTCACCAGCCCTCCCTCCGCAGCCTCTTCGCTCGCTGGCTTGTGATTCCTTTTTCCTCTTTCGCTTCCTCCTCCCTTTCTGGGGGCACTCTGTCCTCTCTTCTCCCTTTGTCCACCGTCTCCCCCCACCGCCCCCCCCGGCCTTGCTCCCTGCTGCTCCTTCTCTGAGGGCCTGCGACCTCCCAACCCTGTCACTCTTCCCCCTCTTCTGGCTTTTTCCTTGTCTTTTCCCCATCTGAGGCTCATCACCCTCTGAGGCTCCCCCCTCCACGCCCTAAGTCCTGCTCTCCCGACCTCACCCTTTCCACACATCGCCCCTTGTCTCACAGACGAGCCCGAGGTGACCATTGAGGGGTTTGATGGCAACTGGTACCTGCAGCGGATGGATGTGAAGCTCACGTGCAAAGCCGATGCCAACCCCCCAGCCACTGAGTACCACTGGACCACGTAAGTGCTGCGGGTCTAGCTGGTCGCCTTGCAAGGAACCTTGCTGCACCCACTCCACCTCCAGGAGCCTTGGACAGGAAGGAAATGAAGGTCTAGATTCAGGTTTCTCAGTGAGAAGAGAGGCCATGAGAGACACACACACAGGCACCCTCCCATGTTTGACTGCATTAGGGTCAGCAGAACAAACCATTCTGCCAGGGGGGCTTCCCTCGTGATCTGCCTCCTTTCTGCTCCCTAATCAAAAACGTTGTCATTCTCCTTTGGTGATTCAGTCTGAGTCACTCCCATCCCAGCCCCCAGTATTTATTTTTATCAAGGTGTCCCCAGGGAGGTTGGCTTTCTGGAGCATCTCAGATCTCTCTTTGTTCCTCTTCCTTCTCTCCAGCACCCTCAGATTCTCAGGGAGAGGCAGCAGTCAGCCCAGAATGCCTGTGTTCATGGAGTGCTTGCCCCAAGGCCAATCCCATTCTTGGCTTCGTGGTTTTTGGGCTTAAATCTCTCAGGGTCTAGTCTCCCCTTCCAGCCAGCTGTGACAGCCTGAGCCAAGGTTCTTCCCAGAGAACAGCTGGATGGAACACACAGAAGGAGAGGGGCATGGGAAAGCCAAGAAGTAGGTTGACTTGGGTGGCCAAAGAGGGCTGCCCAGACTGTGTCTGCATTCTTTTTCCAAGAAGTGGAGGGCACTGGCACACCTCGCTGTTTATTATCATCCACTTCCTGGGACCAGGAGTGGCTCGGAAGGTGTGAATAGACAGGGCCTCCCTGCCAGTTTCAGTTCTGGGTCCAACAGTTTTGTGGCACTGAGGATCAAGAGGAAGGAAAAAGGTCTTCTGGGTCCAGGAAACTTCTGGAACTCTCTCAGCATAAAAAAGACTTGTGACATGCCCAGCAAGGAAAGGAGATGGTGAAATGGAACACAGTTCCTAAACACGGGTCATATCTCATTATCCGAGTAACCTGTTACAATTCTAGGCCAGGACCCCAGCTTTAGTAGATTTGAAGTTATTGTTGTTTAGTCGCTAAGTCATGTCCAACTCCCCACAACTCCATGAACTGTAGCCCACCAGGATCCTCTGTCCATGGGATTTCCTAGGCAAAAGTACTGGAGTGGGTTGCCATTTCCTAACCCAGATTCAGTGTTAGGACTCTAGATTATTAACCAACTGCCTAGGGAACCAAGAACTAACTACCAAGAACCAGTGTAGTAAAAAGAGCACTGTGCTGAGAGTCCAAAGATCTGGTGAGATCCCCAGTTGTCAGTTTCTAGCTATGTTTCCTTGGCCTTGAACCCGGTTTCTCTTACGTAGTATCTCTTAGATACTGTGGGGCCAGTATCTACCTGTACCATCTGCATTTCAGTGCTGTGATGAGCAAATGTGAGGCACCGAATAATGTAAAACTGCCACATGCAAGAGATTACTGTTGCTTTTATTGTTTTTACTCCTTCCAAGACAGATGCTGCCTATTAACTCAGCCAAAGGGCTGATGGTGTTGGAGTCAGGAGGATGACACAGGGGTGGCTTCGTGGGGCTGGAGAATCATAACCCTCTGCCTTGTCTCCCAACCCTTGCAGGCAGAATGGCTCCCTCCCCAAAGGCGTGGAGGCCCAGAACAGAACTCTCTTCTTCAGGGGACCCATCAACTACAGCCTGGCAGGAACCTATGTCTGTGAGGCCACCAACCCCATCGGCACCCGCTCAGGCCAGGTGGAGGTCAATATCACAGGTAGGAAGTTGCACTCTTCCCTGCCTCTCCCCACCCACTGCTTCCTCCGCTGCCAGTGTCCCCCACCTTAGGGCTGGGTCATCGGAGGAAGTTTGCTTTTCCTGTTCCTGCTTCTCTGGTTCTCCTTTGAGAGAGGCCATTGGCCTCAGTTTACGTTTCTCTTTCTTCTATGAAGGCTGTGTGTGAAACAGGGTGACCCCTCCTCAATCAGAGCGAGCGAGACAGAGTTTCCAGGAGGGAGGGAGGAAGTGCTGTTTACTGCAGTGCTGGGGGTGGTGGGGGCTGGTAAGAGCCTTCTCCTGGATCTGCGACCACACACCTGTGATGCTGGCTTGGTGGAGTGGGCTGGAGGGAAGACCATATCTCCTCTGAGTTCTGTTCCTGCAGTTCAGAAAATCCTCGTGGGCTGGAGGGTGGGGCTTACCTCAAGCAGGAATACAGAGGGGAAGGCCAGGAGAGAGCCCACAGTCATGGTCTGTGTGCGCTGCGAGTGGATTTCTGTTTTCCCTGCATTTTTCTTTGTCAGGGCAGATGGGAGGGAGATTCAGCCTCCTGACCTCTTAGGGCAAAGAGGACACAGGGGCTGGGATGTTCTGGGGGAGACATCACATGGGACGTAAAAGGAGTGTGGGCTTCATTGTCAGACAGCTACACACAAGTCCTCATCTGTAAAATGGGCATAATATGACCTGCCTGGAATTTATATATGTATGCCAAGCACCTAGCACAAACCAGTCTGTCAATAAATGGCCCGTGTTCTGTGGTTATTATCTTGGCTCTGTCATTATCATTATTAATGGAAGGATCAGAACAAGCTGATAGAGGGGTAAACTGCCATCACAACTTTGCAACCAGGGTGTCTTTAACCTGTACCTGAGCTAGCTGCAGGGTGAGAAAGTGACAGGAAAAAACTCTTAGGACAGGAAGTAACCTGTGAAGGTGTCATGCTGCTGCAGAGCTGGACAGGAAGTGACCTCAGGGAGACCTGAGCCAGGCTCAGGGATACAGGGAGTTGGGTGGTGGTTACTGGGCTCCAGGCGCAGAGCTTGAGCAAGTTCTGAGGATTCATTGGCTCTGAACCTGTTTCTCAGAAGCAGGAGACCTCATCTAGGGGTATGTAGAAGGCTCAGCTGCTGATAGAACCTCCCAAAGCTGTCCAGGGGCTGTACCTACCTGTCTTTGGGGCTGCTCTGTCACCTCTCTAGCCAGGGGTCCCAAGGAGGGTCACTTGTCACTTGCTCTTTTCTTCAACTCCCTGCCTTTGGCTCTCAGATTGATTAAGGTGGTAGAAGTGCCAGAGAGACACACAGTTTTTAAGGGCATGAGCCCACTCTGTCCCTCCTTGCCTGGCAAAGTAATAAAGCTATTCTCTTCTACTTTACCCCCTCCCACAAAAAAGAGGTGTCAGAGGTGGAGCCTGAGGAAAGCTGAGACAATCTAGGATTTGGGGGGTTCCCGTAAGTTGGCAAGGGTGGAAAGGCTAGAGTCACACACTTCTTACCCCCTGGAGAAAGTCTGAGCAAAGGAAAGCTCAGTAAGAGCCTCCTGGGGGCATCAGCTCTGGCCCTGGGGCCATGCATCACAGAATGGTGAACATTAGTCATAAGGGAACATGCTCCCCTGCGGGGAGGCAGGTCGTGTGAAGGACAGCACAGACTTGGCCTGAATGTTTGCATACGGGCTCTTCCTGGCTCTGTGTGGCCTTCACCTTGTTGAGCCTCAGCTTCCTGTTCTGTAATATGGAGATCAGCATATTTATCTTGGTCTTCTTGTGCTCGTACCAAGCCCACTTTCCACGTCCCAGCACACAGTGTGGATGCCCTGCATGGGGATACCTTCCCCCAGCAAAGGACCACTGACACAATCACTGCATCGCTGCATCCCCCTCAAGCAGGCAGGCTTTCTGGGGAAATTGCTGATTGGGAAATCAGGGGAAGAGGCCAAGAAACCCCAGAGCAATGACATCTCATTGATCGTATTCCCCAGCATAAGCGGACTGGCCAGAGGCCTCAGGGCCAAATGGTGTACCCTATCCCAGAGGCAGGGCCAGGAAGGAAAGTCAGGGCCTCCGTTCTCCCAAAGCCCAGGGGGACGCAGGACCACCATGAAGGCAGGGCTGCTCACCAGAGGGAGTCATCAGGTCCAGGAGTAAGGGGGAAGAAAAGAGGGCAACTTCCCAGGTCCAGACTGGGAACAGAAAGGAAGCAAGGGAAACCAGTGTGGAGGTGAGCCATCTCCTAGGGCATGATTGCACCAATGCCACCCTCTGTGGGATCTATGGTCAGGCCGAGGTGGTCTTCAGGGAAAGGTGGACGAGGCAGGGGTCACACAGGGCTCCAGCTGAAAGGGGCACGCAGCATGTCCCCTCGTGCTCCCTGAGTACAGAGAAGGATGGGGGTGGTCACCAAAGATTCACACATCGGGGGTGAGAAGGGCCTTGTATAAGGGGACTCTGTTGTTGACAACCCAGTTAAGCAGGAGCCAGGGAGGTGTGATGCTCGCGGAATCACTGATGGGCCCGGGAGCTGTGTGGCTAGCTGTCCCTGCGGGAAGGTCTCTCAGCCACTCAGGAAAACTCAACCAGGCGGCCTGAGCCTTTTCAGAGCTGTTTGTTCTCATACTCAAGGGCAATATCTGTGCAGCTGCTAACCCCACCCGCCTTCATCCCTGTAGACTGGTCTTTGAGGGGAACACAGCCTTGCCCTGTGCTCCAAACCCCTCTGGTCTGGAGGGAACGCATGAACGAGATGGATAAGTGGAAATTTAATTTTTCATTCTGGCCATCCATCCTGGTAATAGTTCTGCCCTGGGCTCCTCTGGAGAGGGAGAGATGAAGAGCAGGGCAGGGAAAGGTGTGCAGCAGGGTGTGCACACAGAGACACATGTCTGTGCAGGGTCGCCACATCGCCTGTACAGACCCACTTTATCCCTGACTTCTTGGGGGAGTCCCAGATCCTGGAAAAGGTCGTCTCTGAATTGTTCCTCCAAGGATGAGTGGTGGGCGGTGATGGGGAAAGTGGGGGTTCCCCAGCAGGGGGAGCATGTGGAAAGACAATGGCTGAGCAAGTGGGCAGGAACAGAGGAGCGGGGCTTCCTCTCTCTTGGCCACGGGAAGCCTCTGAAGGGTGCTCAGCAGAGAAGCAGTGAGGTGAGGAGGGTGACCGAGACCAAGCACCTGCAGGGCTGTGTGGATGGCCACTTGGGAACCAGTTAGGGGTTGTGTGCACAATGAGGGTTTTTCTAGAGGGAAACCACAGGCCAGGCAGTGGCCGTGCAGCTGAGAGCAGAGGAGACAGCAGAGTTTGCGGGTATGCTTCACGGGGCCCTCAGGGAAGCCCATTTCCCAAGAGCAGTTTCTTGGGTTTGGCCCCATAGCCATAAAACAAAGCTGTGAATTCTCCTTCCTCCACCCTCTGGGGGCAATGCTGGGGGCAGAGAAGGAGCCCAGAATACAGCCTTGACCAGACTAAAGAGGCCAAAAGAGGCAGCATCGGTCCGGTCCATGGGAAGGGGTGTCCTGAGAAGAGTGTCCAGGGCCCTCCCAGGAGCTGGCAGGGAAGCCCCTGGAGTGCAAGGGGTCCCCAATTTCCATTTCCAATGCAGAGCCCGCTCAACCATCAGGGTTGGGAGAGGGGGTGAAGGCAACAGGGTCTGCACCTTAGGCTGGGAGTCCTTCCGACCAAGGGTTGATGGGGCTTGGAGGTCCCTCCGAAGGGGAGGGCTGTGTGAGCTTGTGAGTAGGCGTGTGCCTCTGAGCGTGTATACGTGCACGGGCAAGCAGGCAAGCGCTGTCTGAGTGCTGAGTGTGCAGAGGGCTGAGGTCCTTCGTGCCCTGCTCCAGGCCACACATGGCAGCCCGCTGGGGAGCCTGTGGGGTGGGCAGCTGCGTCCGCACCCCTGGGAGGATTCAGTTCTCCTCCAGCACCGCGGCGATGAGGCCCTGCCCGCTGCTCTGAGCCGTGTGCAGCTGCTGCAGCTGCAGGAAAAGGACTTCCCAGAGCTTGACCTCAGGCCTCCCCACCCCCGCCCCTGGGCCAGCAGCACTGTGTGCTGGGAGGTGTAGTTCTCGCAGCCTCCCCGGCCCAGGCTTCTGGGGCCCGCGCTCTGCCTGCCTGCCTGCCTTCCTGAAGAAGCAGTGGGTGTTGAGAAGCCCAGACATTCTGTTTGACCCCAAACCTCCTCTGGATCCTAGAACAAGACAGTAAACCCTAACCGTCACTCCACCTCCAAGCCATCCAAGGTCCCCACGTACCAGCCCACCCACCTCAGTCAGGAAACCTCTGGCCCCAAGGAAATGTGGATCCCCCACTGCCCCGGGGGTCCCAGACAGCCTATGATCCCAGAGGGGAGGCTGCCGGCCTTCAGCAATGGGGCCCGGCTGCCCCTTTGTTAGCGGAAGTGAGGGGAGCCGGCAGGCCCCCACCAGGAAGCGCACAAGACCCCCACGGCCCAACTCTTCTCTCACACCAGCTGCGGCCTTTGAGGCTCTGCTCCTGGCACGAAGACAGGAGCTACTGGCTGAATGTGACAGCTGGAGGGGTGGAAGGGGAGGGCTTTCCATTCCACGCCAGGCAGCCACCTCTGCTTACAAATGAGTTAGGTCCCCCCATCCACTCTTTCCACACCCTCACTCGGCATCTTCACGTCGAAGCCTGCAAGACTAGAAGGGCATCCTAACCAGTCCTCTGCCTCTAGGCAGGCTGACCCTCAAGTCGGCAAAATAGCCAAGGTTCCCTTTGGTCCCAGAAATCTCCAGGGAAGAATAAGCTGGCTTAGGACTTAGGGCATGCTTGCATATATGCACTCATGCATGCTAAGTCGCCTCAGTCATGTCCGACTTTCTGTGACTCTATGGACTGTAGCCCGCCAGGCTCCTCTGTCCATGGCATTCTCCAGGCAAGGAGTAGGACTTAGGGCAGGGGGAATTATATGAAGGCTCTAGAGGGGAAAGAGACCTAGAGACTCACCTCTAAGACATGACCTTGCCTTTGTAGTATTCACTCACCAAATGTTCTTGAACTCTGACCATGTGCCAAGTAGCCTATATGCCTCAGGGTATATCGGTGAGCCAAAGCCACCGTCCCCGTGGAGCTTATGCTTTAGCTTAAGGAGGACTGACAACAAATAACAGATAAAATACATTTGAAAAATTATGTGGTCATTTTGAAGGTGATATGGAAAAAAGAAAAAAGCAGGGTAAGACATTCACAGTGCTAGGGGCAGGCTGTGATTTGCAGTAAGTTAAGGAAGGTCTCTGTGAGAGGTGACCTCGATGAGAAGGTGGCAAGGGAGTGAGCCTAGGACCTCTGGGGCAGGAGCTTTCCAGGGTACAGAGCTGCCAGTGCAAAGGCCCTGAGGAAGCTGGGAGCGGAGTGACCTGGGAGGAAAGCAAGAGATGAAGGCAGAGGCACAAATCTTGGAGAGTGTCTTCAGCTCTTAGAGTTAATGGCCTCTCTGTGGCTGCCGTGTTGAGAACAGTCTATAGAGGAAAGGGAATTGGGGAAGCCGGTTAGGCAGCTATTGCAGTAATGCAGGTGAAAGATGACAGTGGCTGGGATCAGGGTAATAGTGATGGAGAAGGTAAGAAGAGGTCAGGCTCAAGATTTACTTTGAATTTGGATTTACAGCTAGTTTGGGACTCCAGCCACTCATGAAATGGGTAATGCAGTCAACTTTACCATACCATGACAAGTAGGCCCTCCAAAATTCAATGTAGTCAAGTGAAAAGTAGGAGGGATTTGCTTTTCTTGGGTTTCTGTTTCTATAGAAAGCATAAAAGTAAATACAGTGGAACTAATGTTGTACACAACTGTAACACACTGAATTGTCAGTCCCCAATTATCATGATGTTGCCACCTCCTCCACCCCCTTCCCTGTTCCTGCAGAAGAGAAGAATTTTAGCCTCTTGAAAACTGGCAGAAGGACCAGAGCCAATCATGGTAGATCCTAATTTGCATTTATTGCAGGTTGTTCTATCAGGCTTTACTGTAATATGTTAGTATATGATTAACAAAATGGAATGAGCTATTGTTTATGCCAGAATGAGAGCTACAGACCACTGGTACATAAAAATTCTGAAGAAAAAAGAGAAGTGTGAGCTGGAGGTGAGAAAGCAAAACAAAGAAGAGACAGAAGCACTAAAATAAGCAGAAGGGGATGAGGCAGGGCAATTCCTGGCAGGGGAATCAGCAAGAACAAAGATCAGCAGTAAAGAATCAACGTGGACAGCAAGTTGGCCAGACCCAAGATGAAGTTGTGTGATGGAAGTGTTGAAAACCAGACTGGCGTGATTCACCAGGCAATGGGGAAGTCATTGTGAGTCTTTGAGAAAGGGAGTGATGGTGTCTACACAGTGAAAATTAACCTGGTGACTATGGATGGAGTGACTAAAGAGGGGCAGAGACCAAATGAAGGTGGGAGATTCAGGGATCTGCTATAACAGTAAAACATGGTGTCAAGAGAGAAGCTGTTCAATAGGAAGAGTCAGCAAGACTTGATGGCAGATTTTGACCCAAGAGATGCTGACGGAATAGTCAAAGGTAAATGAAATTCCAAGCCAGAAGAGTAGACAGATGGTAGTGGAGTTGTGGTGTTGAGTGGAGGGGGTTTGAGGGAAGATGGTGGACATGTTGCGGGAGGATGGGGGTGGAGAGGATTCCAAAGGAGGATGTGATAAACAGAAGAACGTTCAAAGCATGTCCCCATATACTTGTCTCGTGAATGGTCCTTGAGTCAGGAAGGGTGGGGTTTGTGTTCCAGTAGGCTAGGAAGCACTGCATGTTCCTCTTGCAGTTCACAGTGTGCGTGAGAAGATGGGCTCTGATGCTTTGTCTGCAGCGACATCTCCCAAAGCATTTGACCTAGTATTTTTGCCCACCATCTGAGCCGATGGCTCAAGGTTCCATGGCCATGGCTGGGGAACTGTTGTCTGCAAGGCCTTTGCAGTTAAAGCCTCAGAGTTGCGGGGAGAGCTAGCTACCCAAGATGATTTGGAGAGCCAGCAGGATCGAGGTAACTCATGACCCTGAGGCCAGGTCTTGCCCAAGGACAGAGAGCAGGGGGTAAGGTCCGAGGATGGAGCCCCCAGCCAGGCTCCTGGAGCAGAGAGAAGGCCCCACAGTATAGTCTGCACACAGAATGCTCCAAACAGAAAGTCAAGGACTCCTTGTATTTATTGGAAGGCAAGGGAAACATGTCAGAAAGGAAGGGTAGGTCTCTCTACCTGATGCCTTCCTTATTCTGCTGGCCTCTCCAAGTCCTCATCATCTTTCAAGGCTTGGCCTCAGTCCTCTCTCCTCCAAGAAGCCTTTCCAAGCGCCAGGCCACAATGCTGTCTTGCCCTGCACTCCTGAAGCCCCTAACCACCAGCGCCCTTGATGTCTGCATGCTGCTTTGCCTAAGAGTGTCATCTGGTTCCTCAGCTGGATCCTGAGTTCTTTGTATCCTGTGACTAGTGAAATAAACAGATGGTCGGTACGTGTTTGCTGAGTGGATGGGTGAGTCGATGGGTGGGTGGAGCGATGATGAGGCAGGTGGCAAGAGGCGAGAGCACGCAGGTATGGGGTAAGAACTGAAGAGGGAGCTGGCAGGTTGAAAGTACAGAGGCGGTCAGGTTCCTGCCAGCTGCCTCTTGGGCATTTCTTGTGGCGGCAGCTCCCACCTCGCAGGGAGCAGGTGTGCAGCCCTTTTCAAGGCGGTAGACAGATGGGACCTGGAGAACCAGGAGAAGACGCTTGAGCTTCAGGGAGATTGTTCTGGAAGTGGGCGGTGAGGACAGATATTCCGTAAACATTTATTGGGCAGCCACTCGGTGACCTGCAATGAGGACACAGTGACAAGTGGGATGCTGAGTCTTCGGTGGATGCGCTTCTTTCTACCAACTCCCCCCTTCGAGAGGCCAGGCGCAGGAGCCTCTGGGTGGCTCTGAAACCATCGAGTGGCATTTCGGGGGCTCTGAAGAGTCCCGGTACTATAGGTCTCAGCGCAGCGAGAAATCAGCAAGAAGCAAAGTGAGAGATAAGTGATTTATTAGAATAGGATGCTTGTGAGGCTTACAAGCAGGTGGGTGAAGGGGTACCACACCCCAAGAAGTTACTGAGCTACAGTTTTATAATAAAAAAAAAAAAATAAGTAAGTGGGAAGGGAGAGAAGACGTCTTTGTCATTCTTAAGTAGACGTCATGCTTCCATCATCAGCTCCTCCTCCAGGTTGAGCAGGGAAGTTTCCTTGTCCCTACATGGTCAAGCTAGGTCCACCAATTGCTGTTTTTCATGTGTGCAGAGACCATGTCCTAGGGATCATTAATTTACTGAGTTCACTGGTCCGGATGTGGGTCTCGTGTCACCATTGTTTTATTGCCTGGTCTTATGCTTCTGTCGAGGGGTTTTTTTGCTAAGCAAGCCTGCTTGGTTTTGTGGTTAAGCAAACTTGCTCTCTTGAGTAATCATTAGCTTACAGGGGTCTCCCGCATTTTTTTCTGCTTACGATCCCCTAGTGGGATCAACTACTTAATCACCCACTTTGCTTTGTCTTTACTGAGGCAAACGGACCCCTCCATTTGGTCCCCACGTCCTCACTGGCCCTTCTAGCGTGAGCTCCTGGACAGCCCTTCGTCTTCTAGCATCCCTGCCCTGCTCCCGCCCACTGCAGACAGCACACCACACTCACACCCCAGACCAGCTCCACTTCTGGGAGGAGGGACTGGCCTCCTAGGAGGAACAGAATTCCCACGGATGAGTGATGCTGAATCAGGGAGTGAGCTGGCAGAAACCGATTCCCAGAGGCCAAAACATGGGCCCACATCGCCCCTCTCCCTTTGCCCGAAGAGAGGAGGGCTGAGAGCAGCCGGGGTCAGCCGCCCGGGCCTGCCCCAGACCTGCCCACCGGCTCCTCCTATCCAGAGCCAGCTGCGGTCTCCAGCGCCACCCTGTGGTGGTGCTGGGCACCGCCTCCCTCAGCCTCACCTGGGGACCCCTTCGGCCTCTGGCCTGGCCCCAGGGGCACCCACCCGGCCTTCCCTTCCCACCCACCCTCTTCCTTTCTCTTTTCACTTTTTCTGCCTTCTAGTTTCTCCTCCATCCTTAGCATGCACATGTTTGTACACACACATTCATCACAGCAGCACAGGTACGTGGGCTGGTGTGACAGCTAGGGCGTGTGCCTGCACACGTGCTCCCCTGTGTATACTTGTCATCTTTGCTACTCACGTGCTCTCACGCCCCCTTTCTGCATGGTCATGCTGAGTGTCTCCTGCTCGTACACTCCCGCGTTGGCTACACCCCGGCCCCCACCTTGCCCTGCAGGGCCAGACCGCAGCCAAGAACCACAGCCCAGGTTTCTGGCACACACAGGGCATCTACCGGGCCAGCACTGGGGCGCCCATCCTCCTCTCTGTACCCTGGGAGCAGATGAAGTCAGGCGTGGGGCACCCCGTCTGCTTCAGGCTCGGCGTCTCAGAAGCCAGGGTGTGGTGCTCGGGCACAGTGACCAGCAGGTGTCAGGCAGAGGGGCAGTGATGACCTTCGCACAGGCTTTCGGTGCAAGAGAACCAACGATGTGTCACGCTGGTGGCCTCGGGAAAATTACTTAACCTCTATAAGCCCTGTCTCGTCGTATGCCGGATGGAAATGAATAGCATACTACTTTACAGGGTGTCAGGAACACTGGATGTCATGCAACTGGTTTGGACACTGGGTCGTGGCTGGGCTGGCTCCACGTTCAAGGAGAAAGTCAGTGTGGGGGCTCTGGGGCCACGGGACTGTCTCTTCTCTGTCTTCTCCAGCTCCAGCGCAGCTCGCCGGTCTCCTGGATGGGGAGGGGGGTGCCGGGGGCGCCTCTGGAACAAGAGCTGGCCTTGGGCTCCCTTCCTGCCTTCGCCTCCCCGTCTCCCTCTCTCCTTCCTTCCCGGCCCCCCCTGCTGACTCCGCCGCCGGAGCAGACACTGACACTGTCCCCCTCCTTCTCTTTTCCTCACCCAGAGTTCCCCTACACCCCGTCTCCTCCCGAACACGGGCGGCGCGCCGGGCCCGTGCCCACGGCCATCATTGGGGGCGTGGTGGGCAGCGTCCTGCTGGTGCTGATTGTGGTCGGCGGGATCGTGGTGGCCCTGCGCCGGCGCCGGCACACCTTCAAGGGCGACTACAGCACCAAGAAACACGTGTACGGCAACGGCTACAGCAAGGCGGGCATCCCCCAGCACCACCCGCCCATGGCCCAGAACCTGCAGTACCCGGAGGACTCCGACGACGACAAGAAAGCCGGCCCCCTGGGCGGGAGCAGCTACGAGGAGGAAGAGGAGGAGGAGGGCGGAGGGGGCGAGCGCAAGGCGGGCGGCCCCCACCCCAAGTATGACGAGGACGCCAAGCGGCCCTACTTCACGGTGGACGAGGCCGAGGCCCGTCAGGACGGCTACGGGGACCGGACTCTGGGCTACCAGTACGACCCTGAGCAGCTGGACTTGGCCGAGAACATGGTCTCTCAGAACGACGGGTCTTTCATTTCCAAGAAGGAGTGGTACGTGTAGACCCCCGCCCAGAGCCTCCGTCCCAGCCCCCACCCGCACGCCCCCTGCCCGCCCCCACCGCCCACTCCTCCAGGAGCTCGCCAGAGACTCACGCAGCTGCCCGGGGAACCTGGGAGCCCAGGGCACACGACCTGGCTTGGTTTTGATTTCCTCCCTGCCCCCGGCCCTGTCCCATGGTGTCGTGTTCACTGTGGCTTCGGTGTTGCTGTACCTTTCCTTCCCAACACCCCCCTACCGCCCTCTGCAGGGAGCCCTGTTCTCGTCTTGTGTACCTGGGCGTCCCTCCAGGGTTTGGGGAGCCAGCCCTCCCCTGCCCCCAACACTGGAATTTGTTCGTGTCCTTCCCCTTGCTGGTGGATGGCTGAAGGGGCTCCAAGAGGAAGAGCCCCCTCCCCTGGACCCCAGATGCTGCTCGTTTTTCCCTGGGAGAGGGAACCCAGCAACCTCCCCATCCCACCACGAGCTGACACAGTGGGCGTTTGGACCCCTGGTCTAGGCAGCCATGGCACGCCAGAGGTAGGGGGTGGGGGCAGCTTTTCCAAAGCACGCAGGGCTGTCTTTGTTCGTTACCTGAATCAAATTGAGGTCTCTACCTGGAGCTTTGGGCAGTGTGTTTTCCTGAAGGCTGGTTTTACTTTTTTTCCCCTCATCGGCCTCCAGAGAGTTAAGTTGGCACAGCTCCGGTGGTTCCTGTTTGCCTGCCTGCACCCCACATAGCAGGACTCCAGGTCACTCTGGCCCACACTTCCCATACACTTCTACCAACACATACCCACACCTACATGCACACACACGTTGTTCATGTCTACCCCTGTGCTGCCCCTGGGGTCACATGCCTTACCCAGGCTGGACACTGCCCAAGGCCCGCCTCTCTGCCCCACCTCTCCCCTTCCTTCCAGCGGAGGATGGGGGCAGGCGGCCTTCAGAAGCTTCCAGGGAGAGCTGAGACAAGCCCCCCAGGTGCCTCCACCCTAGCATCTCAGGCCGGCTCTTAACCGCATGGAAATTTCTTGAATTTCTCCCTGCCTATCAAGTGCAAGCAACTCTTGATTCTCTTGGGAGTCAGAGCTGGGATCCCAGAAAGGAGTGATCCCCGGGAGTGGAGGCGTATCCACGCGGAGGGCACTGGAGGAGGCAGCGAGCACTGTAGGAGCTCCGCGATCGCGGGCTGATGAGACTGTAGGGTGCAGGGAGCTCCTCGCCCATGAGAAGGCCAGTGTAGCAGCCCTGGACCTGCCAGACAGCGTGAGGGGAGGAGGGGTCAAGGATCCTGAGTCAGCCGTTCCTGCTCACCACCCGCCCTGTCCTGCTCAGCTCTCCCTGGTCCCCACTGGGTGGGGTGGCGGGGGAACCCTGGAGATGCTTTCCCTTTGAGTTGTAGATTCCCTTCTTGAATGGGGCTCTGGGTTCCTGTCAATCACCCAAGACCGATGGTCTTCCTGGAGGAAGGCCCCTTCCGGCCCCCCTCTCTGTTCCCCCAGCTCAAAGTGCCTCAGTTCCTCCATCTGCCCAGCCCGTCCCCCCCAGCACTCTGGATGGGAGAGACCCTGGGATGGGAGAGGCAGGTTCGTGTCTGCCCTCAAGGATTCTTGTGAACTCAGCCCAGGGTGCAGAGGCTCTGTGGGATGGCAAGTGTTGGGGGGAGGGAGGCAGACCACTCTGTGCCCCACGGGCACCAACCTACCCTTGCCATAGGCTTCCCAAGGGAGCCCCCAGCCCCCTGTCCTCCTTCTCACCTCCCTGGTGCTGCTATTGAACCCCTAGCCAGCTCCATCTCTGCCCTGGCAACCCTGGACCCACCAGCTGGGTCACCCTTCTCGCCCAGCCCCCACTACCCTAGCCCCAGCCCAGTCCACCCAGTAGCCACGTAGCAGAAGTCTGAAGCCATGCCAGCCCTGGGGCGGCGCTCCCCTCTCTTGGCATTGGGGGTACTGGATGGGGTGGAGTTGGGAGAAAATTCTGGGGTCTTTCTAGTCACAGGGCAGAGAGGGTGGAGGAGCTGGGCTGCGTTTCCCAGCAGTATTAGTGTCCCCTCACCCCAGGGCAGAGGCGCTTTTCCACGTTACATCACTGCCCGTCCCGCCTCACACCACTCTGGCCACTGCCCGTCCCGCCTCACACCACTCTGGCCCCTCTGCTTGGCCTCCTTGCCCCCTCGCAGGAGGAAATCCCAGGGGCCTGCCTGACAGAGGCATTCTCCACCCCCATGAAATCATAAGACCGAAAGGACTCCTCTTGTGTCTCCCTTATCGTCCACTGCCACCCTCTCTTCCTCTTTCTGTGATGGACTTAGGAGGCCCCCAGGCCTAGCCAAAGCACTGAGTCCCCCTTAAGGCACCTCCCAGCCCTCCCCTCCAGCAAAGCACAAATTTGGGGGTCTGTGCCACATGTGTGGGCCACGTGGGAGGCTCCAGACTTGCCAGAGGCCCGGCAGCAGCATGCCCAGCCGGGGTGCCGCTACCAGGGGCCGAGAGCGGGCATGAGGCCGGGATCTCATGGGGTCAGCACTTGGGCCTGCAGAGATGCGGTTTGTGTGCCCTAAGTTTGTGGGGAGGTGGGTACTACTGCTGGGCCCGCAGGCAGCTGACATGGGGAGTAGGGGAGGGGGTCTGGCCCAGCAGAGACCGGGACGTCTTGCTTCTCCTCCATGCCCCCAGCATGAACTGAGCTTCTGCCTTTTGCTGGAAATGAAATAAACTTGGTCTTCATTGTGCCAAGGCCTCCCCACTTGTCATCCTGCCTTTTGTGACCCTCATGGTCCTTGCCCGCCCCCTCCCCCACTCCACCGATTACCGCCCCCTTTCCTTAAGATTTTGATATTGTTCTAATGTGTAACAACCCTCCGAGTCCCCTTTGATCAGAAGGATCTGAAGAGCAGCAGCACAGAATCGGGGGGGAACGCAGGCATGCACGTGCAGCCACGTCAGGCCTGGTCCACACGTGCACGAGTTTGCACAGGTGCCCGGCACACACACGGGAGCTCACCCCCAACCCCACAGATACACCAGGGGGCTGGCCTGGCCCTGCTGAAAGCCCTTCAGGAAACACGGATGTCCCAGCGCTCGGGCCATAAGAAAGACTCACCCGGGCCCTGTCTCCCAGGCACGTGCCCCCCACCCTGCCTCCCGCCCCCACCAACCCCCGCCATGTGCCCGAGTCACTGGTGCAATAAATTTTCTGCCATCCTCCCGAGCAGAGGAATTGGGGATCGAGTGAGGTGATGTGGGCAGCTTGCCTGGAAGGAGGGGAGGGCTGCCAGGCCTCCCAGGGGCCACACAGAGACCTTCTAGGCCGACTGCCCCCAGGAGCGTGCAGGTGGGCCCCCCAGGCCCCAGGCCCACGGGGAGATGTGCCAGGGGTCCCTGTGCCGAGAGGCACTTCCGGGACCTCATTGCTGCTGCTGCTGCTGCTGCCGCTGCCGCCCGCCCAATTGTGAGGCCAGAGGAGCCCCCATCCCACCGGTGCTGCTGCTCTTCCGACTCCCCCTGTGAGGAATGGGATTCTTGGCCAGGAAAACAAAAGTGGTTTTCTTTTTTTTTTTGTATAAATGGAAAGAAAATCCAGGAGAAGCTGCCCCCTCCCCTCCCCCCAAAGTGTGATGCACTACCTTCGCTTCAATTTCTTAGTCACTGTTTTTGTCTTTGGTCCAGGGACCGCCCAGCAGATTCTCCTGGTTCTAACCCAGGGGGTGTTTGCGTCACCCCCTTTTACTTGTATAAGAAAAAAAAAAAATGATGGGTTGAAAAATGTACTGAGGAAAAAAAAATGTACTTTTTTATAAATAAAGTCTTTAAAACAACCCTGGTTGCCTCGCATCACTCGGGAGCTGGGCCCTTCCCCACGGCTGTTGCGGGGGGAGGGCAGGGTACAGCTGGGTTGAGGCTGGAGCCCCAGAGCAAGGAAGGCAGCCCCCTACACAGGCCAGAGGAGCCCCCGCCCCTACCTTCTGGCAGGAGCCCCAAGAGCGAACATGCGAGTCCCCTCTGGGTCCTCACCACAGCTCACAGGCTGCTGCTGAACCATCTTCCACGCAAGTGGCCCCGCAGCCTCCGGACAGCTTGGCTGATCAGGCATGAGCAGTGAGGACCTGCAGGTTGAGAGACTGGGGAGACCAATCGTGCAGAGAGAGGGGCCTGTGCTGGCTGGGGTCCGCTGTCCTCCTGCCCCAGAGCTCCTACTCAGGCTCCTTCAAAACCCCCCCTCACCCCACCTCCCCACTGTCCTGCTCCTTCCTGCCGAGTCCCCTCCTGTGGCTGTTAGGAGAACCAGCAGTGTCACACCTGTCATGTTGGATCCCCAGGGACAGGACAGAGACAAGCGCTTTATCCTTTCATTTCTGGGGAAGATCCTGCTGGCTGCATCCCCTGTGAGTTCTCAGAGACCCACCGCATCCCCCCCACCCCCCACAGGAGGCTGGTTGGAGGAAGGTCTCCTGGTTCCTTGGTTACCTTCCCCCACCCCACCCCCTGCAGTACCATCTGCTTCCCATCTCCTGGGCTGGAATGCAGGACAAATCGATCCTGGGGTGGGAGTGGCAGGGGCTTCAGTGACTGCCCCCCTGCCAGCCACCCCAGCGGCATCTCCTTTCAGTGAAATCCACACCATACCCCCCCTGAGAAAAGCGGGTGGGGACGCTGGAAGCCTAGACAGAGGCCCAGCAGCCGGCTCTCCAGCTCCTCTGGGGCAAGACCACGCCCTCCACACCTAGGAATGGGGCTGGAGGAGTTGGAGGCGGGCGTAGGAGAAGCCAGCAGCTGCTGGCAGCTGGCTGGGCCCCTTACTCAAAGGCCAAACCCAGCACCCCAGGCTGTGTTTGGATATTGATACTTGAATGAGATGCAAATTGGTCGCTTAAGCGGTCACTTCCTCAGTTTTCCAGGCTGTCCGTTTAAGTTAATTTTTAATTTTTGCAGGCAATAAATGCTTAATTACATTATTAATATATTGTAAGAGAGCAATGGACAGGATGTCCTAATTGGCATTTAACCAGAACGTTCCGGCAAATTAGCCAAGACTTTCTCCAGCAGTGGAAGGAGGGCAAGCCGATTAGTCCCAGGCACAGCCTCTCCAGGTTGGAGAAGCCAGACCCAGCTGCATCCCCCAGGGTACCAGAAGGCGGGGACATACCTAGCTTTCAAGTCGAGCTAGGCTTTGGAAGAATATCCAGCTAGTTAGGCTACTTCTGCCCAAACCTCAACCCTTGCCCCCATCCCCTACCCCATCCCCACCCTCAGCAGAGCAGAGGACCAGACCCCGGATGGCTTGGAGACAGGATTCATCTGAGAGGCTAAGGTTCCCCTGGGGTATGCCCTACCTCAACTATGGGACTAGGATGTAGATATCTGGGTGGCCAGAGCTCCTCTCTGGAAATCATGGCAGCCTCTCTCCCATCCTCCTTACCTTACCCTCTGCAGATGGTTAAAGGAATGAACTTGGCAAATTGAAGGATTCATTTATCCTCGCATGAAATCCACTCATTTGGCCACCCTGAGCCAGGCACTGTGCCACACTGTGATAGTCCCACCCAGAATCCCTGGTTTCAAAGAATTCAGATCCTCCAGGGTCTTAAACCCCCAAACAGTGCCATGCTAGCCACGGACTGAAGCAAAGCTATGTGCAAAGTGCCATGGTTGCACTGAACAGGAATGTTTAATTTTGTCTGGGAAGGTCTGAAGGGCTTGTAGATGAGGTCATGTGTCCCCTGGGCCCTGATGGATGTGTAGGAGTTCTCCGGACCAGAGGTGTATTAAGAGTATTCCAGGCCAACTTGGAATTTAGCATCTTATAATAATAGTTATATTAATTGTTCTAAAAGAGATCGTTCTAGTTCAATACTCTCATTTGGCACATGGAGACCTGAAGCCTAGAAAGGAAACTAAGGTTTGGCACCCAGACTATCAGAAAGCATGTGCTGAGCATGCTAAAGGGCAAGACCATGTCCAGTCGGAGCAGGAGGAGCCCAGGGGAAGGGGTAGTAGCAGGCACTAGTGTCTCATTTCCCCGCCGCCAGTGTAGTGTGAACACCCAGGGGGCACAAACAGGGCTTCCAGAAGCCACGCTTGGTGCCGAGTGGAGCCGTCAAAGCCTGATAGAGCCCATGGGGATGACTTCCTAGAAGAGGCAAAGTGACTCTGGTCCCAATTCTGATGTAATTTTTTTTCCCACACCACCGAACAAGCAACTCAATTCTACCAGAACCAACCCAGAGGTGGTATCAGATCTCACAAGCTGAGGGCTCAGCCTCAGAAGACTGCTTCTGCTTCAGGTGCCAGTCACAAGTCCAGATGGTTTCCTGTGCTTTTGACCTACTGGCTAAGAAATCAGAGGTTCCCATGACTCTCCCCCGACCTTTGATTAATTTGCTAGAGCAGCTCATGGAATTTAGGAAACCGGTTTACTCGCTAGATTTAGTGTAAAAGGATCCAAACCAGGAACAGCCAGATGGAAGAGATGCAGAGGGTAAGGTATACAGGAAGAGGCATGGGTCTCCCATGCCTTCTCCAGGAAGTACCCTCTCCCAGCACAAAAAGTCCCTCCAAACCTGTCCTTCTGGGGTTTTATGGAGGCTTCATCACATAGGCATGATCAATTAACTTATTGGCCATTGGTGACTGAAATCAATTTCCAGCCCCTCTCCCCTCCCCAGAGGTCAGGGATGGGGCTGAAATTTCCCAGCCTCTAATCATGTGACTGGTTCACCTGGCAACCAATCCAGATCCTAGGTGCTTTCCCAAAGTCAGCTCACTAACATAGACTCGTGTGGTTGAAAGGGGTGTCTCAAGAAAATCAAGACAATTTTATCACTCCTATTTCTTCAGTTCAGCTCAGTTCAGTCGCTCAGTTGTGTCTGACTCTTTGCAACCCCATGAACCGCAACTCGCCAGGCCTCCCTGTCCATCACCAACTCCCGGAGTCCACCCAAACCCATGTCGATTGAGTCGGTGATGCCATCCAGCCATCTCATCCTCTGTCGTCCCCTTCTCCTCCTGCCCTCAATCCCTCCCAGCATCAGGGTCTTTTCCAATGAGTCAACTCTTCATATGAGGTGGTCAAAGTATTGGAGTTTCAGCTTCAGCATCAGTCCTTCCAATGAACACCCGGGACTGATCTCCTTTAGGATGGACTGGTTGGATCCCCTTGCAGTGCAAGGGACTCTCAAGAGTCTTCTCCAACACCACAGTTCAAAAGCATCAATTCTTCGGCACTCAGTTTTCTTTATACTCCAACTCTCACATTCATACATGACCACTGGAAAAACCATAGCCTTGACTAGATGGACCTTTGTTGGCAAAGTAATGTCTCTGCTTTTTAATATGCTATCTAGGTTGGTCATAACTTTCCTTCCAAGGAGTAAGCATCTTTTAATTTTATGGCTGCAATCACCATCTGCAGTGATTTTGGAACCCAGAAAAATAAAGTCAGCCACTGTTTCCACTGTTTCCCCATCTATTTGCCATGAAGTGATGGGACTGGATGCCATGATCTTAGTTTCTGAATGTTGAGCTTTAAGCCAACTTTTTCACTCTCCTCTTTCACTTTCATCAAGAGGCTCTTCAGTTTTTCTTCAATTTCTGCCATAAGGGTGGTGTCATCTGCGTATCTGAGGTTATTGATATTTCTCCCAGCAATCTTGATTCCAGCTTGTGCTTCCTCCAGACCAGTGTTTCTCTTGATGTACTCTGCATATAAGTTAAATAAGCAGGGTAACAATATACAGCCTTTTCCTGTTTGGAACCAGTCTGTTGTTCCATGTCTAGTTCTAACTGTTGCTTCCTGACCTGCATACAGGTTTCTCAAGAGGCAGGTCAGGTGGTCTGGTATGCCCATATCTTTCAGAATTCCTATTTCTTAGGAAATTCCAAAAGTTTTAGAATCTGTACCAGGAACAGGATCAAGGTCAAATATATACTCCCTGTTATAAGTCATAATATCGCACGTGATATCTGTGATGGTTTTGTGGAAAGAGAGGCACACAGTTGGGTGGGAAAGTGGAGGAGAAAGGGACTCTGTAAAAGTTTGAGGAGAGCTTTCCCAGCCAGACTCCTCAGCAACCCCCTCTGCCCTGTCCCCATAGCCAGACGCTTCTGGGGAGCAGTTCTTGGGCTCCGCCTTGGTCCTGGCTTAAAGGACCCCCGAACCTTACTTTCTCTATTGATTGACAGTCCTGATGTCAGACCCTTGGTCAAATCCCACTCCCTCCACTCCCCACCATCAACTCACA